GAGGGGACTGCCAGTCACTGGGAGAACTTAAGTGCTCAGTAAACATAGGGCAACGAGGAAGTTCAGGGGCTGAGGTGGGGAAGAGGAGGAGCTGAGATTGAGTAGAGAAGGTGCCTAGAGGCCAGCAGGCGTCGAAGTCCTCTGGGTCTGACCGGGCAGTCCCAGCTCCAGCCCGTCCCCTGGCCCCTCCCCGCTGCCGGCCAGAGTCACACATGTGTTTTCCTGTTTTCCATTTCGGTCCCCGTCACCCTCTGCCTTTTCAGCTCCTCGGAGTCAGCAGCTGCTGCAGCTCCAGCCTTAGCTGGCTTCCCTTCCTAGCACCTTCCCCTCCCCCGCCCCAACCCCCTGCTTGCGGGTAGCCCCTCCTCCTCGCACCTGCCCAAAGGTCACGGGACAGGTAAGAGGTGGGAGAGGAGGGACTATAGGCCAGAGGGGAAGTGCCGGAGGAGGATGGAGTGAGTGTCCTGCAAATTGGCCAACCGGAGACCCAAGAGCCCGTTGTCTCCCGGCCCTGGCCCTGGCCTCGGCCCTCTCTAGGCAGAGCCCTCTTTCTGCCCAGAGACTTCAGCCCTACGCTAATGGGAGCCCTGGCCGCAGGAGTAAACAATTTCTTTCTTGTTTCACTTTTTTTTTTTTTTTTTTTAAAGGGACTATCGTAGCCTCACTGGAATATAGAAAAACAATTGGAGCACTGGGGAGGGAGGAGCTGAGCTTCCAGCTTGGGGTGATGGGGGAATCTGGCTGCACCACAGTGTATGTGTTTTCTCTTTCTGTTGTTAGAGGGGGAAGCACAGACCAGTTGGAGCTAGGAAGGCAGGACATGGGGTCTCTAGGGGAGAAAGTGTCTTCTTCATTTAGCTCTTGAGCTTGACAGAACAGCCAAGACCCTGAACTGTGTTCTCGTTCCTGGAAGAAGTATGCTTTGGCTTTGTCATTCACAGGTAGGGTTCGGGTCCAGGACTCCACTGGCTGCTGTGCTAGGCATGGCATGCTGTGGGCCCTGTGCCCACTTTCCCTGAAGCCCTGAATCTGAATCTTCACCCATAGGCTATGAGTGTTGTCCTGTAACCTCCACTGAGTACTCAGGGATGAATGCTCCTCAGGCAGGAAGAAGACAGGGTGCTGTGTATCAGGAAGGCCGGTATCTCCTGGGGTGCCAGACTCTACAAGTTTCTCCTGTAAAGCCTGGCGTGGGAGAGCCCTTTGGGAGAGGTCCTGCTGGTCCCAGGCTGCCTGAACGGTGGAAGCATTACCCAAGAGCCAGGCTCTCAGGGAGGAATGTGAGCTGCCAAAGACGGTGCCTTCCTGCCCACGGCTGCGATGCTAAGCAGTGGTTAAGAGGGGGCATCTTTTCTCTGAAGGGCATTCTCCCCTGTCCAGTTTGCACAGACTAAGGAGTAAGATAGGGAAGATTCCACTGGCGGCACTTCCTAGTGAGACCGCTAGGGTGTGCTGTCCTGCTGGAGTGTGGGTTTCACCCCCCTCCTCTGGGTATCTGTCTCAAGATTCCAAGATAAAGGACTTCGCTTTTCACATACCCCCAGCCTGGGACTAAACCCTGCACACTGCTTCGCTACTTTCCGCCACAGTTTCCCCTTCCTTTGTCCCACCTTCCTCATCTCTCCTTCATCCCTTTCCTTTATGTTCCATTAGGACATATGCCCACCCCTTGGTGCCAGGAAATTTGGTCTTAAAAGGGCAGGCGGCATGATGTGTTTTTATGTGCCAGGCAGTGGCCATCCTAGCAATAGCATCGCCGCCAAGAAGACTTGTAGTCGCCCCTCATCCCTGCAAAGGGGTGAGAAAGGGGAGGAGCAGGCTGGGAAGGAGGTAGCCTAGGCATCAGGCTGAAGGATGGCAGAGGCTTTCCGTTTAATCTAATCACACCCTCCCCCAGGTAATTCATTAGGGAGCCATCGGAAGCCTTTTCCTGTCTGAGGGGAAGGCCGGTTGGAACTGGTGGGAGGTAGGGGAGATAGCACAGAGCATGGGCTCTGCTGGTGAGCCCACCTGCCTCCTTCACCGGTTTGGCACCCCGACATGTGACTTAGTGCCTCTTGGGGCTGCAGGCAAGCTTGGATGAGATCAAGCATTGGAGTGCTTAGCAGTATGTCTGGCACCTGATAAGTGTTCCATAGATGACAGTTATCATTAACATGAGTGTTGAGGGGGCTGCTGGAAGAAAAGGACTCTCTCCTCTGGAGGGATTTTAGGTATTTGTGAGGATGGCTTAGGAGAAGCTTGATCTCTGGGAAGGGCGAGCTCACCAGAATGCAAAGATGTAGGGTAGAGATAAGCCACCCTCCCCCACACCCTGGGGATTTTTAGATCTTCCTTCTTAGGTTAACCAAAGAGGGTTAGAAAGGGTGTGGGAAAGGACCGGCAGATTTCAGGATAGATAGGATGTATTTCTGTTGGTAGAAGAGAACCAGAATACCAGACCGAAGTAGATGGATATGAAGCTAGAATATGTGATTTCCCAAAACAATGCTCAACGTCTTTGCTCTTGGCCTGTCTATGCAAGATAGCTCAATGAAATCTCAGTTCCCCATATTTTTAGGAAATTGGACTAAACTTGTATGTGGGGAAGTTGTTTATAGGAATTATTATTTTTTTAAGGATGAGAGGGCACATGAATGGGGAGGGGATGCAGCCAGAGGTTTGAGTCTCATTTTCTTTTTAATTTTTTTAAAGTTTACTTATTTGCAGAGAGAGAGAGAGAGAGAGAGAATGAGCAAGCAGGGGAGCGGCAGAAAGAGAGAATCCAAAGCAGGCTCTGCACTGCTGTCAGCATAGAGCCAGATGCAGGGCTCGAACCCATGAACATTAGATCATGACCTGAGCTGAAATCAAGAGTCAGACGCTTAACCGAATGCACCCCAGAGCCTCATTTCTTGACCTTGTTGCCTTGGAAGTAGATTGAGGCTCAGCTTTGAGGTCGTGGCTCAAATTTGGGGGCAGCCATCCTTTGCTCTGAGGGGAAGTGTGCAGAGTTCTTCTCTTACGAGGCCCATCACGAGGCATGAGGACTGCACTTACACTTCCTCTAATGTCAGCACGGGCAACAAGCCTTTGTGGCACCCTGTGCAATCTCCCCGCCTAGCCTTTCTTGTTTGGGGCGAGGGGGGAGTGGGGCTAGGGTGGGGCCTGGAGGACAGAGGCTTGTGCATTCCTTCTCAGGCCACCGCCCCGTCCTCAGCTAATTTCCTCAGGGCCAACTTCCCTGGGGCTAAAGAAACTGCACCCAATGGACTGTCATTTCTTCTGGGCCCTCAGTCCTGGAGCAGCGCTGACAAAGGAGATTCCTGAGAGAGCGCCTTCTTATCACAGAAAGTGCTGAGCCAAGAGCTCCAGGCTGCCCCTTTTGCAGATGTGAAAGGCCAGTGAACCTTAGACCCAGACAGTTGCTTAACACTCCTCTCCCCCTCCCTCATTCCCTCCTCCCGTCTTGACCTCTCCATTTGATTTAAATCCATAAGCATTTGCCTGGCCTTTCCTCTGACTGCCGGCTGAAAAGGAGGAGTGGTCAGGCCATAGTGCCTGGAGGCTCTGGCTCCCCAGGACTGCCACAGCGGGAATCTGCTGGAACCCAGGTTCAGGGAGTGAGTGTGCTTTCCGCCCTCCCCTCAGCAACCCCCTCCCCTCGCCCACCCCCTGTGCTGCTTTGCGCTGTCCAATCACTTCCTCTCCCCAGTGCCCCAGGCCCTAGCACCTCTCCACTTGGTCCGCCAGCCTCTCCTCTTCCTCTCCGCTGTCTCCCACTCTGCAGTGCTCTCGGGCACCTGCTGGCGCTTTAGCTACTTGCCTCAGCTTTGGGTCTTTGGGTCTCAGCTCTCCAGCTGCAATTCCTGGGCGGGGGAGCGATCATCAGCTGCCTCCCATCATCCCTAGGTTGGATCACCCTTTTCCCATTCATACCTTTTTGGGTGATGCACCTATGCTGACGTGGGGGATTGGACAGCAGGAGGCTGGAACACTAGGGGCTTCGAGAGAGAGATGTCCGGGAAGGAAAAGAGGACAATAATCTGTCTTCTTTCAGAGAGGAGTGGGGCTGCTTGGGCTCTGCTAGGACTGCAGACTTCACCTCAGGGTGGTTAAGAGATGCTCCCTGAGCAAGGGGATGGTTGTAGGTTTCCGGCAAGAGGTCCATGAAGCCTTTAGGTTTGCCAGAGTCAGTGTCCTTGGGGAGGAGAGAAGTTTGTGAGGGGAACCCACAGAGAGGCTGCTTGCAAGGTTGGTTCCTAATGTTGCAGCTCAGCACAGGTAACAGGTGAGACTGGAATTGGAAGGGAGACAGGCTTTTTTGGGGCAAGGCTGAAAAAAACTCAGGCTCAAATCAGGATGGTTATACCTCGGGACTGCCAAATTGCCTTGTATCCCAGCATAGTCCGATAGAACCAGGATTTAATTTTCTATTTTGGAAATCTGGGGGGCAGCACCCTCCTAATGAGGAGAAATGCTGCTTTCTCTCTAGAGAATGAGTGCCTTCTCTTAGAAATTCCACTTGGGGTTGTTTCAAGGAGCCAGCTGGAGAAGAAGAGGTTAATGGGAGATGGGAGGCCAGAGTGAGCTCTCTGAGATGGTGGGCCGGATGTTGTCCCTGTTGACCACCATAGGCAAGAGTTTTAGGTAATTGCCAGCCACCTGAGTTATATCTTCATCTTTCTTCCTTAGAGGGCGATGCCAAGAAGCTGGTGACGGCTTTCTTCTCCTTCCACCATGGCTGACGGCATTAAATATGAAGTGGCCTCCCAGCAAGAGGGGGATGCCTCCCCTTTGGGCGATGAAGCCAGCTCAGGGTCTGAGCAGGTAAAGCTGAAGAAGGAGATCTCGCTGCTTAATGGCGTGTGCCTGATTGTGGGGAACATGATCGGCTCGGGCATCTTTGTCTCCCCCAAGGGCGTGCTCATGTACAGTGCCTCTTTTGGCCTCTCCCTGGTCATCTGGGCTGTTGGGGGCCTCTTCTCCGTCTTTGGGGCCCTTTGTTATGCGGAATTGGGCACCACCATTAAGAAATCTGGAGCCAGCTATGCCTACATCCTTGAGGCCTTCGGGGGATTCCTTGCCTTCATCCGACTGTGGACCTCGCTCCTCATCATCGAGCCCACCAGCCAGGCCATTATTGCCATCACCTTTGCCAACTACATGGTGCAGCCCATCTTCCCGAGCTGCTTTGCCCCCTATGCGGCTGGGCGCCTGCTGGCTGCTGCCTGTATCTGTAAGTGGGGCCAGGGCAGGAGGTGTGGGCTGGAGTGCCAGGGCAGAGGCTGGGATGTGAGTCCAGTAAGCCAGTGAGAAAGGAGCTGGAAGCGAATGCCTCCGACAAACACTCTTGTTTTCATTTTATTATTTAAAAAAAAAAAAAAAAAAAAAGATTCTATTTTTAAGTAATCTCTACACCCAACGTGGGGCTTGAATTTACAACTCCTAGATCAAGAGTTGTATGCTCTGGGGCAAGTGGGTGGCTCAGTCGGTTAAGTGCTTGGGCTCAGGTCAGGATCTCGGGGCCTGGGGGTTCGAGCCCCGCGTCGGGCCCTGTGCTGACACCTCGGAGGCTGGAGCCTGCTTCGGATTCTGTGTCTCCCTCTCTCTCTGCCCCTCCCCTGCTCGTGCTCTGTCTCTCTCCATCTCTCAAAAATGAGTAAACGTTAGGAAAAAAAAAGTTGTATGCTCTGCCGACTGAGCCAGCCAGGCGCCCCCCCTTGTTGTCTTTAAATTAGTGTGGGCTTCGTGTGAAAATTCAAATGGTAGCAACGTGTAAAAACAAGCAACAATAAAGAGAACACTTCACCTCTTCCCCACTTTCCCACGGTAGCCCCACTAGCAGTTCATATGCCCTTCCTGACTTTTTCTTGTTCCTTTAAGAAGTGTAGTTAAAAAAAATGTAGTTTTCTTCTGTTTTTATTTTTTGTAAAGTTTATTTATTTTGAGAGAGGTAGTTGTTTTGTTTTTAAAATATGGGATCATGGTACACATATAATTCCAGTTTGTGCTTTATTCCCAGAATTTACCAGTGACATTTTCTACTTAGGGATCTATTTAAAAAAAAAAATTATTTATGTTATTCCATGTTAATGTCAAGGATGTATTGTTTATTTAACAAATCAGTCCTCTTAGTGGCCATTTAAGCGGGTTCTAATTTGTTAGTCACACAGGTAATGCGCCAATGAATATCTTATTGTTTATACGAGTTTTCCTGTGGGCCAGATTCTTAAAACCGTCATTTCAATCTACCCTGACTTTTGCTCTGTCTCATAAATAATGTATTTAAACCTATACATTCAGCAAAGCCACTTTGGAGGTCCCGAGAAGCTGATCGTCTATAGCCCCATCCCCCAGGGGCCTCTGTTCTGGAAAAATGCCCTCCTCACCTGAAATCTTGGAGACCCTTCCCACACCCCTAATGTGGAGAAGCTTTGAAATTCTGTCATTTTAAGGGGCACCTTCCCTAGCAGTGGTGGCTGCGGAGTGTGGGCATTTTGTACCAGGTGTAGTTGCTCCCTGAATCAATCCTCTCCAGTCGGCTTTGTGTCCTCTTTTCTCGAGGTTTCTCCACTGTCCCATCTTATTCCTCAGCTTCCTCTCCAGCCTCCCCCCTTTGACTGTTGTGCGGAGTCCTGGGTGTCTCCATGGGGTCCCCTTGTGCTTTGTGCGTCCGTGCTTGTGGCTTGGACTCCTCTTCGTGTATGGGGATGTTTGTCAGGCATGGCAACAATCAGGGAGGGGAGGAGGGCACTGTCTCTTGTTACAAGAAGGAGGCTTTCCCTTGAGGTCTCAGATGTGATCTGTAATGTCTCTTGCGTCATTTACAGTTGACTTACTGGGGAAACTAATTTTAGGATCTGTCAGTCTTGAGGCGCGCTCCAGTGTGGGCATACTGCTATGTATCTTGTGTGGTGTAGGGATTATTCCAAGCAAAATTTCCAAGATGGCTGCATCGCTTGAAGTACTAGAATCCAATAATTTTAACCATCTCCGTTGAAATCTCTTTAAAACCAATGATATGTCTGCCTGCCTTCATAACTTGACATTTCTTTTGGTGACTCAGAGTCACCATTACCCATCTCAATTCTTACATGACTATGAGGCCTCAGGCCGCTGGGGCGGGGACGAGTGTTGACTTCTTCAGGAGCTTCCAGGGTGCTGGCCTGACTTTAGTTCGGCAGTTTTATTCTTTATGAGTTCCATCTGTGTCATGTCTGACAGCTGTTGTTCCTTGAGTCTGGCATTGTGCCTACCTCCATCAGCCACCCCTTTTTAAAAAATGTTTATTTATTTTTGAGACAGAGACAGAGCGTGAGTGAGGGAAGGGCAGAGAGAGGGAGACACAGATTCTGAAACAGGCTGCAGGCTCTGAGCTGTCAGCACAGAACCCGATGTGGGGCCTGAACCCATGAACCTTGAGATCGTGACCCGAGCTGAAGTCGGACGCTCAACTGACTGAGCCGCCCAGGCGTCAGTCACCCCTTTTTAATTTGCTGTGTCTAATTGGGGACAGAGATGTCCTCAGACCCTACAGTTGGGTGCACATACACATGCAGGTACACCCTTGTAAGGATATGGGCAGAGTAGCCACAGTTATGATTTGTCCGCAGAGCTCCCCAGTTAATCAAAAGATACAGTTTTGTGCATGGATTTATGGCATATATATAACATAATTCTGATGGAGTGACAGATACACCAGATCTGTGTTTGAGCCTGCGTGACCCTAGGCAGGGTGCAGTAACTGTTTTACTTCTGGGCTACTGTGTGGATGAAGTGAGATTTGGTGGAAACCATAAATCATGACTCAGGTGTAATGTATTGGTGATTATTATGTTTGAAATTATTCTCTTTTGGCTGCTTCCAGGACTTTGTTCTGTCTTTAATTACTTCAGAGGGACCTAGAGATCTGGAAGAAGGTTCAAAAGGGCAACCAAGATTGTAATTAAGAATTTAGGGACATATGATTCATGAGTTTCTTCCTTCAACCATTGTCTAATGAGCACCCAATACATGAACATTCTGTCCATACACTACCTATGCAGTAATACCTTGTTTATCTTAATATCTTATTTATCTAGCCATAGCCATTCAGGAGAAAGGTAGAGCAAAAGGCCTAGAAGCAGCCAAGAAAGAAATTTTAAACACAATAATCATTAATATGTTACACTTGAGTCATGATTTATGGTTTTCACAGCCTCACTTCATTCGCAGAGTGGCCTGGAAGTAAACCATCCCTGCACTTGCCCAATGTCCCACCACTACTGAGCCCTCCCTCAGGCACAGGTCTGGTGCCCTTGTCACTCCACCAAAGTTGTCAAATATATGCCAACAATGTATGCGCAAAGTGAGGACTGAGGCTGAATCTTTGACCTTAGCGAGAATAGGGATTTAATACAGAACTTTCATTCATTCACGGAACATTTAGAGCATTCTCTGCGCTAGGTATTCCAATGAATGCTGGGAAGCAAAGAAGAATAAAGTCTGGACTTTGCCATCCAAGAACTCCTAGTCAAGGAGAGAGATAGATAGGTTAACCAATAATTGTCATGCAATGTAGGAAATGTGGTGATAGAGACACTGTAGGAGAAAGCAGGACAATTTTCTTCATTTGGGGAAGAGGGCTTATAGGAGGATGTCACAGAGACCATGATGTCTGAACTGAATTTTGGAAAGATACGGAACTGTCTCCTAGGACACTTCTCACTGAGGGAACTGCAGTGTGACAAGGTGTGGAGGTGCAGACAGGCATGGAATGTTCAGAGAATTCCAGGTGGTTGGTGTGGCTGGAATGCAGGGTGGGAGAGGGTGAGAAGGCAGAGACTGGAAACGTAGCCCAAGGCCAGCTCCAAGACTGGTTTATACATTGCCTACACAGGTTAGACTTTATCTGGAAAGTGGGAAGTTGTTGATTGTAAGTGGGGAAGTGAAATTAGATTTGCTTGGAAGAAGAACACTGGTGGCCAGGTGGAGTGTTTTTGGCAAGTGTGAGAATCAGAAGGTAGGCACACCGGTTTAGGGAGTGGACACCTGAGTCTGCTTGAAGGCTGGTGAGCAAGGCCTTTGGACCAGAGATGAGGGGGTGGATAGAAAAGTAGTAATAAGGCAGGGTTTCTAGGACTTCTGGATGGGTGTGTGTGGTGGTGGGGGGCAGTTCTCAGAGGTGATGCTAAGAATTCAAGCTTGGACAGGGGGGCAGTGATGGGGCTTCCATCTGAAATAGGGAAGGTGAGCTGAGGGATGAGTAGAGGGGCATCTGGAGCTAGGCTGCTTATGTGGCCTTTCCATGAGCAGCACCCTCCTTGGGTCATCATGACCCAGAGTCGGTCACTGTTCCATCAACTGAGTCATACTTAAAACAGAGACTGATGTGTAAATGATGATGGCAGCCTAGGAATGTACAATGATGAGCATACATCATTAGCATAATTTCTAATGACCAGAAGGTGTGTGTTCACTGTCAAGGCTTCCTAATGCCATAGTCCCTAGGAAACCCATCGAGGAATCAGGGATTGCTCTCAGGGCATGGAATCAGAGCCAAGGGAGAAAGTTTTGACTACTGGAGACAAATTTACTGAACGTGATGGGTTTTATAAAATACGGAGCTGAAAGGTAGAGCAGGAAACTCACGGTGTGGTGGAGGAGACAGGAAGTAGTCAATTACACACTTCATATGGGTAAGTGCTGGGAGCGGGTGGGGTGGGCCCTACTCAGGAGATGTCTGTACTCAACGCTGAAGGATGAAATGGCGTCAAGGGGTGGCTGAAGTGCCCCCTGGCCGTGGCCTACAAGGTGCCATCTGACTTCTCTCAGACCTCTCTCCCCCTTACTCTCTCTGGAGCTACACCGGCTTTCTTGCTTTTCTTCCAGTTTGCCTGGCCTGTTCCTGCTTCGGGAGTTTTGTACTTTATCGTTCCTTCTGCTGAGAAGCCTCTTTCCTCAGATGTCCTCAGAGCTCATCCCCTCAGTCCACTCGGGTCTTTGTACAGACGTTACTTCGCCAGAGACTTCTCCTGTCTCTCATGGTCACTCTCAGTTTCCCATCCTGTTTTGTTTTTCTTGATAGCACCTGTCACCACCTGACAATAATCGTTTACTTGTCTGTTGTCTATCTTTCCCTCTAGAGTGTAAACACCACGAAAGTAAGCACTTTGTTTTGCTCACGGCTGAATATCCAGCACCTAGAACAGTGCCTGGCATCTGCTAGGTACGCAATAAATATGTTGAATGGAGAAG